AAGAGAGAGAGAGAGAGAGAGAGAGAGAGAGAGAGAGAGAGAGAGAGAGAGAGAGAGAGAGAGAGAGAGAGAGAGAGAGAAAGCATTGGGCAGTTGCCTGCACTCTAGTCCTCGGATAATTACTCAGAATTGTGCGGGCGTAGCCTCACTGGCTTTACTTGTCCTTTAAAGCTCTTGCTGCGCTTGGGGTGAGACAGCCTTATGGGAGTACGTGCACCGGACCATCGTTAAAGATACTCCGGCGACTCACAACGCGAGGATAAAAATAGTATGGATGAGGCTGGCTTGTTCTGCATTGCCTGGGCACAAGGGTGGGCGTTTGCACACCATAGACACCACTGCTCTGTTTATGCAATCAGGACTTTGTATACAGGGGAGGGAAGGTTCCAATTGGTGCTCGAATATAATTATTGTTATTACTTCCATTTCCGCATCCATCTGTGCAAGTGATTTATTTTTATTTTTCTCTAGTTGAGGTGTTTCGGACTACTGACACCTGACAGACAGCTGTAGGTTAGAACTGCGGCAGTCTACCATGTTTTATTATTATTATTATTTTAACTGTAGCAGTCTACCATTTCTTTCTCTAGCTGTAAACGGAGTAGTTCTACTTGCTGGATCTTCATGTACTCTCTAGTGGATGGAGGTGGCTGGCTGTACTGCGAACCTGCCATCTGACTGGAAGGTCCTCCAGTCATCCCGCTGGACCATACAAAGGACATTAGAGTACGTCCCAGATGTCTGCTGACCTTGAGAGGTCGTTGCAGAAGTAGCCATGGCGTCAACACTAGCTGCTGCCACTACTAACGCACTTGCAGCTGCTGCTGCTGCCTCCCTAGCCCTATGCAAACTCGCCAACCATGACCTGGTTCGGAATTTTCTGTCCTCCCCTAGTAACAGGTCCTGGAACACTACAGAAATACGTTGCGCTTCCCACTGTGTCAGTCTCCAATCATCGGTTGTCCCCTCCCCACTACCATTACCGCTCATCAGCTAGAGCAGACACTGTCTGCACTAACGTCTGCTGCGGGGCCTACCACAGCATGTGTCACTGGGCTGCATAAATAAATAAAGGGGT